TCTGGATCTCTCTGAGTTCAAAGCCACACTGGAAACAGCCAGGCATGGTGACCTACCAAGTGATGGCAGGAAGCAGAAAGGTATATAAGGCGTGAAGACCAGGAACTAGTGCCTTGTTAAGTTTTTAGGCTTTTGAGCAGCAGTTCAGCTGAGATCCATTTGGATGAGGACTTAGAGGCTTCCATTCTGAGGAAACAGGATCAGCTGAGAGATTGGCGAGATGAGGTGGCTGTGTCTTGTTCTGCTTTTCTGATCTTCCAGCATTCACCCCAATACCTGGCTTCAGGTTTGATTTTATTAGTAAGACCTTTTAAGATTCCTGCTACAACACTGTGTATATGTGTGATCTATCTGCACTGGGGTGGGGTGGGGGAATGGTAGGAGCTGGAGACCTCTTGCTCCAGCTGCCCACAGTGGTTGGCTTGCAGCATTTACCCAGGGTGAGCATTTAGGAACTTTCTCAGTGCACCTGCCTCATACCTTCCAGTGGTCATGTCATCTGTCCTGGGACTCATACTGTATTTAGCATCTGTAGGTATGGCCCTGCAGTTCAGGGGACATTGAATACTAGTGTTGGGAAATGAAATAGAAGTTGGGCATTTCTCAAGCGACTTCTCTTCCCGACCACCCAAAGAAAGTAGCACAAGTTGCTTGGTCCCGGGAGAAGGCAGGGCCATGAAGACCGGAGACCCACCAGGGGCTTATCTATGGTGTCTACTTAAGCACCCCAACATTCTTTAGTTTCAGCGGGCTGTCCCATTCTTTCAGAGAGCTGAGAGCTCAGACTACGGGGTTCTATGACATTGTGACTGACCCTTGAGGCAAAGAACTCAGCTCAAATCAGAGTTGGTACTGTTCCCTCCTGGTAAGAATGATTCTAACCTCTCAGGAGCTGGAGTTCCCCTTGTGAGGTCAAGGGCTCATCCACTTGGTGACCAAACCCTGATGAAGCATTCTGTGTATGACCAGCCATGTGGCAGACCAGCCAACCCCTGCTCTTTCTGCACCTACAAACTTTCCAAGGGCCACACAAGAATGAGCCAATGTTAGCAGTTCTCTCCAGAGTGTGATGAGGAAATGCAAGGCCTCAAGTTGGGGTTGAAGGTGCTGCTGCAGATGCCCCCCCCCGGGGGGGGCATCGTGGGTCCCCATTTATTGACTTAGAAATAACTATCAAGCAAGGTTGGCCCTGGGAGTGGGTGAGCCTGCGTGCTTGCATAATGTTCTCCTGCGGCTGGATTTAGAGTCTTGGTTTTTGCTTTAAGGAAGCTGAAGGACCCGCCATGCCTGTGGTTAGTCCCATTGGGAAGCTGAAGATGGGAGAAGCCAGTACCTCTTCTGGGTGAGGGAGGAAGAAATTGCCCTGTAGAACATCCCCAATGGTGACATGTTGACAGACTCAGTTTACCTTGCCCTTGCCTCCTCCTTTGTTTTCTGTCTGCAACTTCCAAGTTCTGAGCCTGGGTCTGAAGCAAATCAGGACCCAAACAGAACCTTTGCTTTCCATGGGGCTTTATAAGGAAGGCTTGGGCGTGCTGCAGTGTGGGCCCTGGTGATTAACGACGTGGGGCTTTCTCCATTGTGCAAGGCAGAGGAAGGAAGGAAGGAAGGAAGGAAGGAAGGAAGAACACTTAACAGGAGAGGGTGTCCACGTGCTGGGCCTTTGCACTTCAGATCCCCTTGGGAGGGAAGTTGAATCCTTCAGTCCAGGCCCTAGCTGGATTGGCTCTGGTGAGCCGGATGGGGCTGTGACCTGGGTCGGGTCATAAAGCTGTGACCCTGGGTCATCTGGGCTGTGCTTTGATGATCTGTCACCACATCAGCCAAGGCCCAGGGAGCTACTGCTGAGGGCCAGAGACGTAATCTGCCAGGTCCACACCCTAGATCTTTCACTAGTATTTACCAGAGGGAAGAAAGACATCAGAAAGCCCCAGTGACCATGGTTCTTTCCAGGCACTTGTGGGGAGGGATGAACATGTTTAATGAGCAGAGATGTATCCAGGCCATGTAGTTATTTGAAGACAGGAGTTGGATACGGCCCCTCTGGGTTTAGATCTTTAGTCAGAAGATGAAGAGTAGGAAATTTTGGACAGACAGCTCTGCTTTCCTGTCTCCCTGGGTTGACCCTGAACTTGGTTCTACCCTGCTTCTCGGAGGGTCCGGGGGCATCAAGCCCCTTGGCCTCAGAGGTAACCCACTCATTGTTATCCCTATTGCCTTTGCTTCCTTCCCTGACCTGATTCACTCATGCTTTCTGAGATTCCTCCCTCCTTCCCCAAGTAAGCCCACTGTACCCCAGATCTCTTTATGGGGTCTGCTTTGGGGAGTCTGAATCAAGACTTGGCCTTAATGACTTGGATCTGCTGTTTAGTCCCAGGTCCCACCAGGCCACCCCTCAGTCAGTTTATTTAAAATCCCCAAGTAACATCTTGCTGTTGTTCTTGGGAGGCAGAGTCTCACTCTGTCCTAAGTCTTGCTATGGGGACCAGCAGGCCTACAACTTGTGGCAATTCTCCTGTCTCTGCTTCTCACAGACCTTCAAAGTCATTTGTCCCTGGTCTGAGTGGCTGCGAGGACACCATGAAATGAGACCTTTTTTGCTAAGGCAGGGTATGGAGCCATCTATTGATCTGCTTTTGAGTGTGAACAGAGGTTTCCCTGGAGGGCTTCTCTCTGCCTCCAAAGTCACCTAGGTGGGTGGAGCATATGTACAGTGGTTGCAGGTGTTGGCATGTGAAGCCCAGAAACAGGGATACTCTTAGGGGTAGGAAAGGAGACCCCCTTGCCTGTGTCTGGTAGATGCTCATGCAGAACAAAGGCTGTTTCCAAGGACAGAGGGCGCATGCCCAAAGCTGTCCTGATGGACAGCCCTCCTTGAGGGATGTCCTGAACTTGCTCCATGAGGTCCAGTGATTGGAGTCATGGAAGGACAGGAAAAAGCCAAGTGAGCAGAGGGGTTCAGAGCCAGAACTGTGGAGTCAGGCTGCCTGGATCCTGGCCCCACCCCTTCCTATGTGGGTGACATTTGAGCAGTTCCTTGGCATCCCTGGGTCTCAGTGTCTGCATCTGAAGCTTGGGGAACCCTCACAGGCTTATGCTACCAAGATGGCAGCTCATGACAACCGTCCCTGGACAGGGGAGGTGAGTGCTGATTTTCCGTCTTTTCTGATCTCTTTTGCAGAGTATGTATGCAAATGTTCTTACTGCTATTAGAAAAGTAAAAGGCTTTTGTTTTACTTTGAGACAAGATCTTTCACTATGAAATCCAAGCTGGTCTAAACTCATACTCCTCCTCCCTCCCCTTCCTGACTGGATTACAGATGTACTCCACCACATGCAGCAGAAGATAGCTTCCGAAAGACCGATATACATTGGGTAAGATGAAGGAGGTAGGCATGCACAGGGTGGAATCTGGAGGTGACCAGCAGCCACTTTGGTGTCAAGGGTCCATCTGAACCATCATTCTTTGTGGCAGGAACTTGGCAGCTCAAGGTCTCAGGTGGGCCATGAGAGGCTGTGCTGTCGTGGGGAGCAAGACACAATTTCTAACTCCGGTGACAGTCATTTTTATACTGCTGTAACTAGTTGCCTGACAAAAACAACTTAGAGGTGTGTGTGTGTGTGTGTGTGTGTGTGTGTGTGTGTGTGTGTGTGTGTTTATTCTGAATCATGGCTTAAGAGGATGCAACCCATCATGGTGGCAAAGGCATGGTGGTTGGAGTTGGAAGGGGCTGCTTCATGGGGGTGGGAGCTGATATGCAGCTTGTTACCCAGTGCTGGCCAGGAAGTGAAGGGCTCGATAGATTATAACCCTCAAGATCTGACTCTAGTGGCCAACATCTACTAGTACTACTACTACTAGGGCTTGCATCTTGAAGGTCTTGTGACCTCCCAAAACAGTACCAGCAGCTATTCAAACACACACCCCTCAGAGGACACTTCATATTAACACTCTAACATCCCCCGAGGGAGGGCTGAGTTGAGGCAGCAAAGCTGGAGAGAGCTGAGAACATGAGCAGGGAGGGCAGGAATGGGAGAAGCCCAGGCCACGGGATCTGAGGAGGCTGCAGGCAGACACCCCGCAGGAGGCCTCAGCCCCTCTTCTAAGGGTGTTCCCCCATACGGTTTATAAAAGGAGAAACGAAGAAACCAGACTCGGGGGCGCATGCTTATCATCCCAGCATGCAGGAAACGGAAGGAAGAACATTGCCATAAGTTTACCATCAATGAGGCTACATGCATAGTGAGACCCCAGAGGGAGAAGGGAGAGGTGAAAGGAACAAGGAGAGATGGATGCCATATGTCCAGACGGTTCCATCCCTGATTTTAGCTCTGATGGGCTTCTGAGTCTGTGACAGGGTGCCCAAGAGGAGGAACGTCTCTGTCTGTTACAGTTATTTCTTGGTACCACAGAAAGAGTATATGAGAAAAAGGAAGAAAGAAAAGAAGGAAGGGAGAGAGAGAGAGAGAGAGAGAGGGGGGGGGGAGAGAGAAAAAACAATAAACAAACAAATTGTTTTTGAGGCAGGGTCTCACTATGTAACTATGTATTCCAGTCTGGCTTTGTGACCCTCCTGCCTCAGCCTTGTGACTTCTGGGACTGGAAGCTGGTGGCACCATGTCCAGCTTAAAACAAACAATTAGGAATTCTACTTCTCAACTGGCTTAACCCAAATACGAACGGAGCCCCATGTGGGCCTGTGGGCCAGCCTTACCTTGGTGCTGTGTTCAGAAAGAAAGAGTCTAAAATTGAAACTGTTTATAATCTTTAAAGGGTTCTATTTCTTTTCCCGGTGACTAGCAGAATGCTTTAATGTGGATGACACTCATCTCTAGAGAGATACTTCCCCGCCCTTCCATTCCTCTCTTCCTTCTTCCATTTCCTGCGGCTGCCCCAGGCACACACTCATCTCCAGCCTACACCAGCTTCCTCTTCCTTCTCTCCACAGGTCTCCCCTGATTGCTTCGCTGCCAGATGTCCTTGGAATTTCAGCTCTGAGGAGCTCACTGGAAGGACTGGAGACTGAAAGATTTTTGCCCACAGCCCTTCCTCATTCTTTACAAAGGGATTCACGCAGCGATCACTGGTCAAGAGAACAGGCATGGGGTGGGGCTAGTGAAGTTGGAACCCTGGGTTCTTCTTCTTGTTCACCCCATGATGTGGAGCGCACTATAGGACAATTAGGAAATCCAGTCTCTGCAGGAGGAAAGCATGGAGATGTAATAAATACGTTTACCTACATTGGCCTGGGACCGCAGCTCTCCATCTAGATGCTGCAGCAGGGCCAGGTTTGACTCAAGCGTGGATGACCATCACTCGATTTGCTGTAGTCATATGGGTTCTGGGACAAGATTGCCTGCGTTGAAATCTCAGCTCTCTCTCGTATTTGAATCCAGATAAACAGCTTAACTTCCTCTGTAAAGCAGGGTGAGTGATGGCACTGACCTTAGAGAATTTCAGTGAGCGCGTGCACACTGATCCTGTGTGATGTGGTTAGAAGGGCCCTGTGGCATGTGGCAAGGGCCCTCCAAGTGTTCATGGCATTGCCTAAGTAGAGTAAGAGCTGGAATCAAGATTTAAAACCAGTCCAGTAGGGTTGCAAATCTGAGCTGGTAACTGCAGCCCTGCCTCCTCCCCCCAGGCTAGTGCAGGACCACTAGGGTTACAAATGTTCCCTCCTGACTGAGAGGAGAGTCTCAGAGAGACATTTGCACACTCCCATGCACAGCCAGCAAGAGAGTCACACATGTGGGAGCAACCCAAAGGTGGCCAGATTATGGTGATATTTTATCTGTACTACGAGGCAGATTCTGACCCAAGCTACAGCAGGGATGGACCTCAGGACACAACAGAACCCAGACTGTGCCATCCCACAGATGTGGGGCATTTCTGTCTTCACAGCCACAGATGAGAAAGCAGGCAGGCAGTGTGGGCTGAATTAGAAATGGCTTCTGGGTACTGTTTTGGTTTTGCAAGGTGGAAAGGGGCCCTGGGTAGTGACTGTGGCACAGCAGAGTGAGTACTGAAGGGCATGCTTTAAATACTTAGGTGCTCAGGAGGGGCAATTTTATGTGATAGTTAGTTTACCATCAATTAAACTTATATTGACAAGAGTTTCCCTCGGGCTGGGGAGACGGTCCAGTCAGTAAAGCGCCACACACTCAGGAGGACCTGGGTCTGAATCTCCGGAACCAGATAGAAATCTGGGTGTGACAATGCACACCCTAACCCCAGTGCCGGGAAGTTGGGGGTAGGGGCAGGTACGGTGGATCCCTGACGCACACTGACTAGCAGCCTACCCGAATCACGAGCTTTAGGTTCAGTGAGAGACTGTCTCAAACCGTGAAGTGGGAGGGCAGTTGAGGAAAGGCGCCCACGCCAAGCTCTGGCCCCCATGTAAACACACAGCACTTGCACATTCGCAGGTAACATGTTCCTGCACATTCATACTAAAACATACATCACACACACACACATGCACACACACACACACACACACACACACACACACACACACCCCTCTTTAAAATTTTCAAAAGAAAAAGGAAGGTTTACCTCTTTGGTCCAGGAAAAAGGGACCCATGAGTCCAGAGTGCCTTTGCTGCTCTTCTGTGGACTAGGGGGTGCCAAGATCAACACCACTGTCACTCACTCATGCCCCGGCCACGTGGGGGTGTCCATGAAGTCGGTGGGTGAGCGGCAGTAGGAGTCCATGGGTGTCTTGCTGGGCAAGGTACGCAACCAACGTAGCCAGTCCTTGGAAGAGGAAGTGGGTCGGCGGAAGCGGCCAGAGCGGTTGGGCCTTTCAGATGGATCCGTCTGGAAAGATGTGAGGGCCTTATTTTATCATCAGCAAACTGGTTTTGTTGTTACCCCATTGGTTTGGGTTGGGAGGGGGGAGTGGGCACACCTGGCTCTGCCCCGCTCTGCTCCCCCCCCCCCGCCCCTTTTTTGTCCCCAAAGCTCTACACAAATGGCCCGGTCTGAGAGTGAGAAGAGCCCATGTGCTAGGTGTGGCTGCAATCGCTTTTCTCTTCCTAGCTGACTGGCTAATGCCTGCTGAGATTCCAGTGGAAGTGTTTTAGCCTCCACCCCACCCCACCCCTGTGGCACCCCACGCTGGTGGGTGGGAGATCCTGGGTGGGCAGGAACTGGTGGGTAGGAGACCCGAGCTGTAGGCAGGGGCTGTTTGCAGCCTTGATTGGAATCCGGTGGAAAACAAGACAATTTGGAACTTAGAAAGTCAGGCTCTCCTTCCCTTTTGTCTTCATTTTTCTCCCTGTCTTTCCAAAGTCCCTCATCCCATTTCTCTCTGCCAAGTGATTTCTATTCCTTACTTGAAAAACCTCATTTAGACCTTTTGGCCAGTGGCAACTCTGATTGTTTCAGATTCAAACCTTATTTTAGCTGGGCACTTCCTGAACTGGCTCTGTAGGCAAAGGCTGATCTGCAGGGAATTTCTTCATAAGGGACCCGGGGAGTAGGTGCTCAGAATAGACATTGGTGTAGAGGAGCCCTGGGCAGAAGGAACAGAGAAGGTGGGGGAAGCCTCCAAGGGGCTGTAATGGAAGACATTTCCTACTGTCTACCTGGGATGAAAGGAAACCATTTCTTTATCTGTGTCTACCCACCCTGTCTATGGGGGTGGTCTCTCAGGCCTTGGACTTCCTTGAATACTTGGGATGTTCATGGCTGGTGAAGTTAAATGGGTTCCTACTGGCCCAAGGAGCCCCAAAGTATCAGAAAAGCCTGGGGATGGGAAACAAGATATGGTTGAGCCAAGGAAGTGAATATAACCCATCTGTCTGGGTTCCTGTTCTTACTGGGAAATGGAGATCTGAACACCTGCCTTCTGCAGATAGGATGTCAGTTGGGTTAAAGCGTAGCCGCTATAACAGAAAGGTCCTCAATCTCAATGGCTTGCTGTAATGGAAGTTTATTCCCATCTCCCGCTTAAGCAGTTATCTTCCAGGGTGGTAGCATGTCTTCAAGCAGTAGATGGGACCTTTTCCATCTCTGATTCTTCAGCCCATAAGTATCTTCTCTGCCTCAGGATAAGGACAGTGGTCATGGCAAGGACAGTCCATGGTAGGTTGTAGGGGCCAGGCTAAGAAGGAGCATAAATTCTGTCTACATTTTTTTTTTTTTTTTTTTTTTTTTTGGTTTTTCGAGACAGGGTTTCTCTGTGTAGCTTTGCGCCTTTCCTGGGACTCACTTGGTAGCCCAGGCAGGCCTCGAACTCACAGAGATTCGCCTGGCTCTGCCTCCCGAGTGCTGGGATTAAAGGCATGCGCCACCACCGCCCGGCCTGTCTACATCTTATTAGCCAGGCCTCAGCCACTGGTGGTGTGCAGACATGCTGTTGCGCCTCTGGTCTCTTCTCCTGCTGTAGGAGCCAAGCTAGGCTGCTGGCTATCCCATCATGCTCCTGCCGTGTGAGCACATTCTTCTGGTGTGTTGGAACAGTGACTGAGCATGGTAGAGCTATGAAGCCAGGCTCACCGGGGCAAGACCAGTGACCTGCCAATGGGCAAAGGCTCAAAGACTTCCTATTAGCCTGGCAAACACTTTCTTGGAAGAGTAATCCCTTCTGAGAATCTATGCTCATGCCTCTTTTCTCCCTGTTCTGCTACTATAGCGATTGGATAGTTGATAGCCTGAGGCTTCTCCTGTTCTCTATTGCTTAAAACCTCTGCATATCTAGTGTCCAATCTCATCTTGGTGTCTATCTATTCTTGGTCAGTCAAATTAACTCATATAGCTACCTTTAACTGCACGGGAGTCTGGGAAGTATAGTTTAGGTGTGTGACCAAGAGGAAAAGGAAATGAATTTAGCAAGCAGTGAGCCAGCCTCTGACGTCATAAGGGATGAGATAATATTTAAAGCTGTCCTTAGCCCTGGGCTGGACACACATCCATGCAGTGTCTTGAGGACATTGCCATTTGTACCAAGATAGATGGTGCGTAGTGAGTCTTCCGGTCGTGACACACACAGCTTGCTCCAGCAGGTTGTAGGACTGCTCTGTGGGGTTCCTCTAAATCAGAGCTTAGAGTGTCAGAAGGTGCCCAACTGTTCTATCCGGAGCATCTTCCTGGCAACAGTCACCATCTGGCATCACTGCACTTGGCTTACTCCTTGGTCATGCACAGGGTACCACCATGTGGTATTACCAGCTCTGCCAGTGCTGGGCCCTGGGAGAAACCCACAGGTCCTGCAGGAATCTCAGCCTATCTCTGGCTTCTCCCTAGAAGCCTGCTTCCAAGGTCCACCAACAACCACTTTAAGAGTTCCATAAATGCTGATAATTGCTGCATTAAACCTCAGTTTATTATTTTCTCAGGGTGCAGGTATGCCGATGATATGAGGCCTCACTGCATTTACATACAAATTGAAGATTTTTATTAATCAGTCCAGTACCAGGAATCCAACGTTAACAGTCCATCAGGCCCTTAAATACATTTGGTGACACTTTTACCATGCATTAGCTTGATAGGGCAAGGCGAATATAATGTACCAATGATTGCTTTTCCATTGAAAGCACAAATGGTTTCATTTTTCCTGTCATCTCAAATAAGTGTTAAAGAGGGTTTGGAGGCTGTTGTGTCCACGCCGTATGCTCAGGACTTACAAACACTGATGAGCACATTAAATAACCATTAGCGTCTGGGCCTGGACCACAGCACCGGCCCTCCTCTTCAGAATTTATTCTTTGATTTAAAGTGAAGGCAATCTGTGGTTGCTTTCATAAAATCATGAGGCCCCTCCATTCTCCCTCCAACAAAATGCATTACAACAGTAATTTTATGACTGTTAAAATAACTGTCGTTAACAAGCACTTAATTAAAATGTACAATAAATAGCCGGCTGCAGTCTTGTCTGCTCTCCGGAGTGGCCCGGCCCGAGACTGAAATGCCCAGGCCTGCTGCTGCCCAGCTTGTTTGCAGATTAATTGCTTTTTGAGCTGGCAGGAGTTGCCTCTATAGCAGCCAGATCGTAAATGACCAGATAGGGACTTTATCAATCAAGCCAGTGTATGTGTGTGACCGCTGGTAGTTGGGAAGGAGAGCTGGGGAGCGGTCAGAGGACAAGCTTTGCGTAGGTAGCATCGCTGACCAGGATGGAGACTGCTGGAGCAAGCATCCAGGGATGAGGCAGAATGTCGGGATGGGAAAACCTGCATGGTCTGGTCCATAGTGGGCTCTTCTGTTTCAGATCTCATTCTGAATGTCTCCGGCATAATGACAGCTCTAATAATGAGTGTAATAAAAATAGCTAGCATTAGTAGGGATCTGTCACCTCAGTACTCAGGAGGCTGAGGAAAGAGGGTCCCAAGTTCAAGGCCTGTCTAGGCTATATAAGGAGAACTTGAAATAGGATTGGAGATGTAGCTCAGTGGCAGAGTCCTTGC